CTATGAAAAATTTAAAAATTAGCTGGATGCAATGGCACATGCCTGTAGTCCCAGCTACTTGGGAAGCTGAGATGGGAGGATTGTTTAAGCCCAAGAGTTCAAGGCTGCAGTGAGCTGTGATCATACCACTGCACTCCAGCTTGAGCAACAGAGAACCTGTCTCAAAAACCAAAACAAAACAAACAAGAACCAATATATCTTGAAGACTTAGTACAAAAAAATGTAAATAACTCATAATTTTTCATATTGGTTACATGATGATATTTAGGATGTGTTTGGTTAAATATTTTAAAATTAATGTTACTGCTTTTTATTAATGTAGTTGCTAGGAAATTTCACATTTGTGCTGTGGCTCACATTGTATTTCTATTGTACAGTGTTGCTAGAACATCAGAACCTTAAGGGCAGAGAATTTATGTTGCTCAAGTTGTGTTCCTCACAGGTGCTGGAATAATAATTGACATAGTCTTTATATACTCAAGAGAACTTTATTGACAATATTCTGTATTTAAGAATCTTCTCTTCCCCATGTTAAGATCAGCCTCTCTTCAGCCAAACTTGTGGTCATTGAAAAGGGCATTTTTAGTCACAGAAATCTAAAGGAGGCTGAGAAATTGGGGTAGATGGGAATGAGTTTAAGGATGTAAGCCTAGGGCATGCTTCAGCTAAAAGCAGGAAGCTTAGATATAGGACATGAATGAAGGGGTTTCTCTTTCCATTTCTTGGATTTGTTTCCCCTGTGTTTGCTCCATTATCCAGACAGCTTCCCTCCTCTTACACTGCTAGTAGTTTCCAGGGGCTATGAAAGCCTTACAGATTTGTGTCCAGTGGAAAAAAAGGAAGTCCACTTCCCTAATTGTTCAAACGTTCCAGAAATTGGCCCTGATTAATCAAAATGCGGTGATATGGTATGCCTGTCTTAGCCAGAATCTTATACAAAACAGAGCCTGAGGCAGCATGCCTTTTTTGTTATTTTTTTAATTTGGAAGGTGCAAATCCATGGTAGCAAGGACAAGAGGGAAGTGGAGCAATCAACAATGTAAAGCAAATTGAAATAGTGTGTTATTGCACTGGCTATTGCTTCGTGGTAAGCCATGGTTCTTCCACACTGATTTCTGAGTAATTTTGTAAAATTTAAATCCTATGTTGTCACTCATCTCTATTCTAAAATCCTGTAGGATAAGGCTTATCCCTTTAATTTAGTAAATTGAGCCAAGAATTCATGGGTTATCCAGGAAGGCATAAATTTTATGACATGTATCACACATCACTGCCTTATGATGTGGTGCAAACTAAATCTGGATGAGTAGGAGCTAACAAAGAAATTGGGCAGAAGGAAGAGGAACAGAAACATGAAATAGAATGGAATATTTAGAAGACCCTAAGATCTTTATGGCTGGAGAAAAATATGCTTGGGTGGAAATTTAGAAGCCACTTCCAGAAAAATAGGCAATACTCTATACTGTGTTCTGTACTAAGAAATTTGACCTTTATCTTCAAAGTTATGAGAAATCATTGAGGGATTTTAAGCAATAAAGTGGTTTGATTAGACATGTGTTTTAGAATGATCACTTTAGAACAGTGGGGAGGATAGAGAGATGAATCCAGAGTAGATATTGAAAAACCATTTGGGAATCTTTTAAGCAGTTAGGAAGTGCTAACAACCTGATTAAGGCATTGGCAATGGGAATGGACAGGAGATAGACTGAGGAGATCCGAAGTAAAATATACAGAACTTGGTGATTGGGGGAGTTAATAGATGAGAGGAAGAAGTTTAAGTTGAAGAGTTGGATAGATGGTGGTACCACTTCCTGGGTTAAGGAATACAGATTTTATTGAAAAGATTATGAGTTGAGTTTTGGACATGTTCACTTTGAAGTGACTATGTGATATACTAGTGGAGTTATCCAGTGGAACATTGAATATAATGTTCTGGTGCTCAGGAGAGATTTCTGAGATAGAGATGTACATGTAAGAAGTGTTGGGATATCAAATCAATCAGACAACATGTGTAGGTAGGAAAGAGACTATGCCTAATGGCACAGCCCTGAAGAAGAACATTTCTGTGACCAGCAGAGGAAGAAGTGCCCATGAGATAAACAGAATGAAGGAACAGGCACTGATAACAAGCCAAGCCAATAGGTAGGCTCTAAAGCATAACATGAAGATCTCCTGGGGCAGCAGCAGATCTAAGTAAACCTCTTAAGAATGGCAAAGAGTGGCTATGATCAGTCAATTAAAAGTAGGTGTTTAGAAAGCTAGGATAACAACCTTGGTGAAAAAGTTCTCGAAAATGTGATACAGGTAAAAGGTTATGAGGAATTAAAGGAGGGGATTCTCCATTTCTTCATCTATAAAGTGAAGGGTTTAGATTAAGTGAGTTCCTAGACCTTTCCAGTTCTAAAATCCTGATCCCATGAGCTGGTATTGAAAAATGGGTAGGATTTGCTACTCTATGAACAGTAAGCCCTTCCTCTGGGAACTGCTCTCCTGTGCTTCCAGCCACCACTCCATCCATATGGTTCTAACAGAAGCTGAGATTTCTGTGTACAATTGATTTGTTTAGAGGTAGGCGCCTGACCTACCTGGGCCAGTAAGAATCCTTCCCCAGGAATTTGAGAGTGAAAGTGAGAAAGAGAAGACAGCTTTTCTTGGTGATGGGAACTGAATATATGGAAAATCTGGAGCTGATGGTAACCATGATTTGCAATGAAGTGTTTAAGGGGAAAAAAAAAAAAGGAGGCCAGAATCAAGACACAGAAGCAGAGATGAGAGATAAAAAACTACCTGGGTCTTCCAAAGGACTTCAAGTCCTGGTTCCAGTCCATTGTTAGCAGGTATCACAGTCCCTGAATTCCATGATATAACCCAATATCCCTCGAATAATATCTTCCTTTGAGACTTAAAGTAGCCCTAGTTGATTTCTGTTATTTGCAACCTAAAGAGTCCTAAGTAATAAACTGAATTTGGTCAGAGCCATATAAGGAGAAAAGTAAATGGAAGATGAAGCTGTAAGATAGGACTAGATGTAATGGAGGCTCTTAAGTGCCAGGCTTTGGATTATATTAATAACTGGAGTAGTGACTGTGGGGAGACAGCTGAGGGGAAATCCATTAACACTTTTAGAATCACTAAAACTTTCATAAAATGTTGATTGAAAAATAAAACATACAAAATCATTGTGGTCCTGGCCTTGGTGCTCAGCTTTCACATCATAAGCAATGTTAAATAATGCTCATGCATTCATTTAATGTCTATTAAGTAGAAAGTCACATCCCTCCTCCTTTCTGTCTCCCTCCCTGTGTTAACTCTAACTTGCTAACATGAGCATCCTGTAAAATGCTATGTATGGTGAGGAGATCATTAATGGTAGACCCTGCCATCCTACATACCCTGCCTCAGTCATCACTTCTCTATTCCAATCAGAAGTGCTGCAGCCAAGATTATATTTGCTAAGGTAAATGGATCAGTCTCTTTAAAGGGACTCTCTTTCATCAGCCAGTTCCAGCCTCAGAAGTCAGGGACTAGAGCAGTTGGTGGAAAGATGTCTCCTCTTTCTCCCGCTGAGACTAGCGGTCTTGGCTATTATTCAAGAAGATGCAGATTCTTCTCTGGCTCCAGGGATGGCAAATGCTGGTGTTTCTGGGGGATGCAGCTCAGCTGGTACTTCTTAGGTCATGTTATTGAGACGAACTGATGCTTCTTGGATGGTTGACAGGGCTATTGGTCCAGGAGATGCTTCAGCATCAGTTATGGCTCCTAAAGCTCCATTATCTTGCTGGCGGAAAAATAAATTCGTCCACCCTCTATGGTCAATTTGCCAATATCCATTCTACAAATGTACATACCCTCTAGTACAGAAATCCCAGTTCTACGAATTTACCCTACATATACACTTACATGTGTGAGAAATGAAAACATGTAAGAATATTCATTGATTATTATACAAAAGACTGAAAATAACCCAAATCTGTCCATAGTAAAGAGGCCAAAAAAAGTACATTTATACTATGCAGCTATAAAAAGTGAGTAGGCACTTTATATAGTGAGGCGGAATGACCTCCATGAAATATTGTGAAGTAATAAAAACAATGTGCAGATGTTTGTAGAAGAGGTAGCCATTTCTGATTAAAAAGAAAAAGGGATACTGCATATTTGTACTCTCTTGGATGTAAACAGAAAAATCTGAAAGGGTGCACAAAAAATGTTATAAAAATGATATCCCTAGGTCAGAAAATTTGGTGGTGAGAAATGTAGGAAAAGAGGCTTCTCCCTATATACAATTGCTTGTGCCTTCTGAACTTCATACCATGTAAACACTTTCCCCATTAAAAGAATAAAATTTTAACTTAAAAAATAGGGATGGCAGTATTTTAAACAGTAGTTCCCCATGCCGATCTATATATCCATTAATACTCATGAAGAATAATTTTTAATGCACCATGAAATCAGAAAAACTTATGTTCTGAATTTTTCATAATGCTGAATTCATGTAATTAGTTTGAAGGGCCAGATTTTATTTTATTTTATTTTTTGGAGACAGAGTCTTGCTCTGTCACCCTGGCTAGAGTGCAGTGGTGTCGCCATAGCTCACTGCAACCTCAAACTCCTGGGCTCACGCAATCCTCCTGCCTCAGCCTCCAGAGTAGCTGGGAATACAAGCACACACCACCATGCCCAGCTAATTTTTTTTTCTATTTATTGTAGAGATGGGGTTGGTCTCCAACTTCTGAGCTCAAGTGATCCTCCCACCTTGGCCTCTCAGAGTGCTAGGATTACAGGTGTGAGCCACCACACCCGGCCCATATTTTATTCTTAAGTACTTTGTATGGAGATGTTAGTAGACAGTAGTTACCAAGGTAATGTTTATTTACACAATGGGCAAACTTAAAAGTTGGCATCATTACATCGATTCTTCAAATTCATCTGCATCCTGAAATTTTAAAGCATAGAATCACTGATTTAGACTTGGCTTTTGTTCTCATGTCAAATATCTCCTTCTAAACATTATTTCGGAAGGCATTCCTCCTGTGTATTTCATGGTGTCGACTAAGTGATGAATTATAGCTGAAGGCTTTTCCACATTCGTTACATTCATAAGGTTTTTCTCCAGTGTGATGTCTTTGATGTTTTTTAAAGGATGAATCATGCCTATAGGCTTTTCCACAGCGGCTGCATTCATATGCTTTCACTCCTGTATGAACAGTTTTGTGGTTGCTAAGGTGTATCCTCTGTCTAAAGGCTTTCCCACATTCCTTACATTTGTAGGGTCTTTCCCCAGTATGGATTCTCTGGTGATGTGTTAGATACGCTCTATGACTAAAGGTTTTACAACATGCAGTGCATGCATAGGGCTTCTCCCCAGTATGAATTCTTATATGTTCGCTAAGATGTCTAATCTGTCGAAAGGTTTTCCCACATTCATTGCAAGTAAAGGGTTTCTCTCCAGAATGAGTCCTCAAATGCTGGATCAAGCTAATATTCTGGCTGAAAGCTTTCTGACACTTATCACATACATAGGGTTTCTCCCCAGTGTGAGTTCTATGATGCTGATTAAGCGATGAGCGATGTCTGAAGGCTTTGCCACATTCCTCACATTCAAAGGGTTTCTCACCAGTATGGATTCTCTGGTGTGTACTAAGGGATGCACTTTGACTAAAGGCCCTTCCACATTCTTTACATCTGAAAGGTTTCTCACCAGTATGAATTCTCATGTGTTCAGTAAGGTGAATGGGTTGTTTGAAGATTTTTTCACATATATTACATTCATAGGTTTTTGTTCTTATGTAACTTGTTGGATGATTAATCAAATCTAATTTGTATTTGTTCCTCTTTCTAGGTGTATCACATTTATGATGCCTCTGTTCTATAATGACATTTGAACTCACAGTGATATTTTCCCCAAATCTGTTAGTTTCTTGGCCTCTCTCCTTGTGGGTCAAGATGGTTTGTCTCACATCTCTCACACAGGTTTCATGGTGCCTTTCTAACATATCATCATATTTGGAGACTTTTCTCAATGTGGAATAAATGATATCATCCTTCATGACCCTTTCCATTATAATGCCATGATACAACTGTTCCTGTGAAATGGCATTCTTTGCAGTTGACTCACTGGTTTCTGTTTTACTCTTCAAGTCTGAAAGAAATGGAAAAACTGCAAATAACTCATACTCATTATGCTTTGAAAAATCAATCACTATAGTGGTATGGAACAGAGATTTAGACAACAATACGTGTAAGTACATAAGATTTTGACTATATTTAAATATGGTTATACAGCCTGGAGAGGTAATGGGAAATGAAATTAAGAAACAGTGAACAAGTTAGAAGTGTCATTTTATACATATAATAAAATCTGAATCCTGCTCTTTGCAATAATACTAAGTAATAAAATTTCAAAGCTATGTCTTAAGAATGGAAGTATTTTAAATTGACAACTACTTTTGGAAAACAATCTCAGAAAGATAGAAAGAAGATGTCTTTCTCTCTCTCTCTCTCTCTCTCTCTCCCCCCTCTCTCTCTCCCCTCCAGCAATAGCAGAAGAGTCACTAGTTCAAAAAACAGGGCTTGAACTAAGAACAAAGAACATTACACTGTCTTTTACTGAAAATTGTATTTATATGTGTGTGTGTGTATAATTCTGTTTTCTGTAGTTATTAATATAGCCATGGAAGTGTTACTTATATAAGGAGACTTGTAAAAAACCCAGACTGCTATGTTGCTACTGCTGGTAGGTTCTAGGAAAATATCCTTTAACCTTTAAAATTCTGACTGGTTTCCTTACTTGATAATTTGTTGCACCATTACTAATATTTTATCTGACAGGTATATTATCTTGAAAGGTATAATTTCTTTTAAGATTTTTTGGTCAACACAGAAGGATCATTAGTACTTCCAAATTCCAAATTCTAAATGAAGAGAGGCAATAATAGTATCTAATAATGTCTATGCTCTGCAGGCCCGATTCTGTCCTGAATAGGACCAGGAGGAAGGA